ACACTAAGGTTCGGTTGAAGATGATTCAGTAAGTAAGGAAATGAAATCTCAGATGGGATAATATATCACTGTACAGATTGCTGTTTTCTGTACTGTTGTGTACTGTAAGAACTTGGAATGTGAATGGACTTATTTTATACATTGCACTTTTGGCACTACTCCAGTATAAAGTAACAGTGTAGGTTTTCCATAAGAAATACTAGTTAGTGGTCACTGTGTCTTTGCTATAGGGAGCTAATTTTGATTTGAGGGTAACAAAATACAAAGTGCCTCATTGGTTTCCAGTAACAAAAGCATAGCCTGTGTTCTGAAAATTCCATCCCAAAAATGAGCAAATAAATCTATTAATAACTGATGCTTTTTAAAAGAGAGATTTTATGCAGAACTATAAACTAGCTAAAGAAGTGAAGGCTGCTGAAAAGCAGGAGGGCTGTGGTCTCCAACTAGCATTAAACAGCTGGGTTGAGTGGGAATCCTGCTAGTGATTGACAAAGATGTGATTTTAACCTAAATGTGTTGCATAGAGCTCTTGCACATTCCCCCATACAAGAGGAATTCCCATCTGGAGGCTCTGTCTCTTTAAAGCAGAGGCTTCCACATCTGCAGCCAGCAGAACCTGGGCTGGGACCGGCAGTGTGTACAGTGCACTGCAAGGATGAGAATACATCATACCATGAAGGAAAGTGAGGCAATCCAGGACCTCTCAGGTTTCACAGCCTCTAATCAAGCAGAGCTACACATCCAGGCACAAAAATAGCCAGCAGACAAGTACAGGCAGTGTTCCTGGAGCTCTGACATGGAGGGTGAGCCAAGTAGCTTTCTCCCTTGCTCTTGTGCCTGCCACAGTGTTTTTCCTTACGCTGGAAAATCTGAAGACTTAAGGACACTTGAATTCAACCATATTTGGTTCAAATTTTCTACTTTTTTCAAGGTTGCAAGTAAAACAGTCTTTTTTCAAGCTTAAAGCTTGATGTCTAAGCCTCTTTTTCTCCCTACTTTTAGTAATTTTTTTCACTTTTGATTATTTTTATGCCTCTGTGTTCCTTAATGTCTAGTGGGGAATTAGACATGACATGTACAAGCAATTTGGTCTCATTCTTTTCATTAAACCTGGCTAGTGTTCATCAAGTTGAACTGAGAAGTTCCCTTCTGCTGGCTCTTGTGTTTTCAGAGACTGCATTCATCAGATTACAGTCGAATTTCTAAAACAGAATGATTTCATAAACAAGAGTTGGCAAGTCAAGGTGCATAGTGATTCAGAGTACTTGATTTGTGTCTAGAAATAAACCTTTTCTATGTCTCTTATCTAAGGAATTGCTTTCTTGATATTTTTATGAGTAAAATGTTTTTTTTAAAAATACTGTGGGTGGCTATTGGGGAATACTTCTGAGAAATTTGTCACGAGCATTTGGTTGTTCAGACACGCTGATTGGCATGAGCATGCAGACAAAGTATAGATCTGTGAACACATCCTGCTAGTTGTACTCTGAATTTTCTTGCTGTTGCTAGATAGCTCTAAGTGCTTATTCTATAGGCTGTGACAGTGAGCTAGCACTGAAAGACTGAATGTTAGTTTTGGTAATTTCTTTAGTGAGAAATTGGGATGATTTTGCACACTGGTATCAACCGTAGGAGTGTGTGTATGTTTATTCACTTCATTCAGTTGTTTGTGGCAACTTCTGTTCTTCATTGTGGCAGTTTGATTTTGCCTATGAGTCTTAGCAGTGTTGGCATGTAGTTCTTGCCAGGGCAGCTGCTTCTGGCATTCAGTTCACAGAATTAAGGTTTTGCCATCCTTGCAGCATGCCATTTATCTTGTCAGTCCTTCTGTGGCCATAGAAGTTGTGTACTGAACCTGCAGGATTGTTGTTTCAATGCTTTTTAACAAAATTACATCCCTTTCCTGTGTTAACCAGGGCACAGTGGCTGTGGAGCTGACTTGACAAGTTGGGCACAATGGTAAGCGGGATAGTAACAATATTATTTTATGTTTTCACATCTCTTCAGATCTGGAGTGCTTCTGCCATTCCAGCAACAATGCTTTAATTTCCCAAAGGGTGGACTGGCTTTTGCCACCCTCCCTATGGGCAGTCTCGATGCATAAACCCCTCTAGCTTGTCCCAGTGCTGAGGTTTGTTAAGATAAGCTGTTTACCCAATATCTGCTCCGGCATCCTGAGAAACTCTCATATTCTGTATAACAGGATAGGAAGGGAAGAGACAAGCGCAACTGTCTGTGTTTGGCAAAGTTGCTGCTGCCTCCCCTTGAGACATCCAATTCCCAGTTTCTGGCCATTCCAGGTGATGTAGGCCTCCATGAGAAGTGAGAGATGCTCAGTGCAGTGAGTTCCAGAATTCCTCAAGCCACTGAGACAGCACAGGGCTTTTCATTTTTCCTATTCATTTATGGTTGTTGCCATTCTACACTGTGAGATGGGCTTTAAGGCCAGGCAAGGTTTTCAAGCCTTGCTTGAAATGTTTTGAAATTACCTTGCTCTGCAGCCTGTTGAAATACCTGAGGCTTTCCTGCTTGCCATGACATGGATATTTGCTCACAGTGCCTGGGTAGCCATGGAGTGAACAGCTTTTATGGTGCTTTTATTTCTCAGCTGAATGCAGCATGTACACAAAAGTGCCTGTAAAACCATAGGTGGTTTGTGTTGAACAAAGCTGAGGCGTTGGATTGTGTAACTTGTATCCTAAGAATTCAGACCAGTTTCAAATTTTCTTCTTGTTGTAACTTTACTTGGCCTGAAATTTAGATTCTAGTGATATTCTGTTGTCTGCAATACTTGAATCATCAAATTATTTCAACAAGTATAATTTGTTTGTGAGATACTGTGGCCAATCATACTTCATTCTTTATTTTATGAGAATCATAAAATAATAATCAACAATCTACCACAACTGGATGGAGTTATTAAAGCATCATGAACATCAGTTTTGGTGCATAGTAATGTATTCAGTATTCTGGGGGTGCTTCGATCAGAGATGTATTCAGGCCCTTTTTGTGTTTTTCAGCTTGCTGGAAAACAGTTCTGTATTATTATTTGGTGATCAGCAATGCAGTAACATGTGTTCTTTTCTTACAGGAGCCATAATGTTATTTCTCCAGCCTGTCAACAGTGCAGTTCCTTGTGAAATGGTAAGCCAAATGCAGAAGCTCCACCACGGAAAGGGGACATCCCAAATCCCTGCCACCTCTGCCTCTCAGTCTGTGTGTTCCTGTCGCTTGCCTTGCTTTGGCCTCAGCAGTTGTCTGATGCACCCTGAGCTTCAGCTTGCTCAGACCACAAGTTGTTTGGGTGAATATTTTTCTTTAGTAAGGTTTTTTGTATCAATGAAAGGTCCAAAGAGCGAGAGGGAGAAGTACATGCTCCTGAGAGACAGGAGAGATGCAGCCTGCTTGTCAGAGAAATTACAGATTTGGGTGCCTGTCAGTCTGCAGCCCAAACACCAAACATCCCCACTTAAAATCTTCAAATATGATCATTTTAGGCATCTTTTAGGACTTTTAATGATGGTGTTGAGATGTCTTCTCCCTCAGAGCCCTCATTTTTGGTGGTGTCTAGGTGCACATAATGGCTGTATAGATTTGATGACCTTTTTGTATCACTTGGCTACTGAAATTCAATTGTTACGGCAAGTCAATTGCCTCAGATGTCACAATTGATTTTCCTGATTAAGAGAAGCATTTCTAGTACTGTTTCCCATTTTTCAACTTGCCTATCCAATTAAAAATACATTTCTTGTTACTCACCCGAAGAGTCTCCAGAAGAACAATTAATACAGCAGCCAAATTTACACAATTTTCAAACTTCTGTATCTCATGTTAATATCAGTAATGCTCCCGCTTAGTCAGCCACAGCAAAATCACTTAAAGTTTTATAAAAATTTACCATCTGCTGATCAGCAGTTATCTCCTTGGTTGATGAAATTTGAAGGAAATTAATCAAAGCTTTGGTTGTGCAAATGTTTGTTGCTGATTCTGCTTAAGATTTGGCTAAAAGTTGGGGGGGGGGGGGGGGGGGGGCAAGGGTGGCCCAGCATCAGCAATGAAGGGGACTGTGTTCCTGGGATTTGGAACCCAATTAGAAGGCTGACAAAGAATGCAGTGGCAAACACGAATAGAAATATCTATATGGATATATTATCTGACCTATTTATTACAGATAGTTGTAGACTCAGTGGAAAATTAACCTGATGGAGAGAGCAATGGACACAGTTTTCCTAGCAGAGGTGTACGACCTATTTATTACAGATAGTTGTAGACTCAGTGGAAAATTAACTGATGGAGAGGGCAATGGACACCGTTTTCCTAGCAGAGGTGTATGAAAACCAAGCTTTAGAACTGTGAATCAGAAACAAGATAGTGAGTACTGAAATGGGATTTTGCCATTCAATGCCAGTATAGATTACGAATTTTGACTTGGCTGTTTGAATGTTGAGATGCCTTCTTCTGATGTGTCACCTGCAGATGAGGTAACCGGTTCCTGTTTATTGCATGGTTTTCCTCGCTTTTTACCTTTTTAACCATTTTGTTATCTCCAAATATTGATTACTATATCCATATTGATTACTGTTTCAGTTTTATCAGCACGAATCACACCTATTTATCACACACGGGTACTTGTGCAGGAACGTTAAGGAATACAGCACTGCGAGCAGTCGCTATAGATCAGCACAGGCGTGTCAGGGCTCGCCCTGGCGGTGCCAGGCAGGCAGTCCCGGCCCGGGGTGCCTCCGGCAGATCCCAGCGCAGGGAGCCTCGGCTCACCGCTCCCCAGCGGGTCAGGGCTGCCGGTCTCACCCGGTCTTCGCCCGGTGTCTGTCCCCTTAGGCCGTGCCCCGGCCGCAGCAGGCCTGGGCACGGCGGGACGCCAGGGGGCGGCCATGGCAGAGCCGCGGGGGCCGCCGGGAGCGCGGCCGGCCCGCTCCGCCCCGCCGGGGCCCGGCCCTGCCGGCGTCCGTAACCGGGACCGCCCCTGCCGGGCCCGCCCTTGTCGGTAACCGGTGCCGCTCCCGCCGTGGCCCCGCCATGAGCGGCGGGGCCGGCCGCCTGAGCCCGCCGCCCGCTGAGGGCGAGCTCTCCCCCAGCCCCTCGGAGGGCTCGCCGCTCTCGCTCGCGTCCCGCTGCAGCTCCCCGGGCCGTGAGGAGCCGGAGCAGGAGCGGGCGGAGGCTCCCGGAGGCTCCTGGAGCCCGCCGGGCCATAGGTAACGCCTGCGGCAGGGACCGGGCTCCAGGGGCCTCGGGGCTGCCTTGCACTCGCTTCTCTCCGCCGGAGGCAGAAGATTATTTTACATAAATACAGCCTTGTTTGCGGAGATGAGCGCTTTAAGAGCCTTGTTTTTTTTTTTAAGTATTTTGGACAGTCTAAAAGTGCCGGTGAAGTAAAGGAAGGACAGCAGCGCTTCACGGGGTGCAGGTTTCCATGGAGAGCAGTGAAGGAACATGTATCATATTGCGCTTTATTTAAAAGCATTTCTTGAAAAAAGTGCTGGAAGTCCAGGGAAAGAGTGTCCAAGTGTAGCCAGAGGCTTTGGAGTGAAGAGGTCAGCTAGTTCATGATCCCTTCTTTCTGTTTTCCTGTTAGCTCTCTGTGTACTACTTCCCAATGAGCAGTTTTGTTCATGCCCCTTGGAGTTCTGTTGCAGTTTGTTCAAGCTACAACACGTCTGGAGCTTCAGAGGCTGTTGGAAACAGCTCCCAGGTCGGGCCTGTTGCTGCAGTGTTCTCTGGCAGCAGTGAGGTGCAGCTGAAGACAGCCTCTTTTAGGGCCTGAGCTGACAGTCCTGTTAAACCGTGGGCTAAATACACACTGTGCTGGTGTGGGCACTGCTGCTGTGCCTTGCTAAGGGCCCACCTTGTGTTCAAATAGCAGCTTCTGTGTATGGCTGCCAAGATCTCAGAAGTATAATAGTAAAAGCCATTTATTATGCAGCCCCCCATGCACTCTGAATATTGTTGTTGTCCTCTTAAAAGTACACAAGAATTAGCTGGAGGCAGCTGTGCTATGGGAAATGCAATATTTGCAAAAGAAAAAGGGTAAGAGCAAGGCCTTGTTAATGCTGTTAGGCATTTCATGCTTTCATTGTGGATCCAGTGTTATGTTTCTTGTGTCGCCTTAGTGAATATACAACAAACGAGAATCACTGTTCACTGTTATTCATACTTGGGTCTAATCCAAATGTCTCTAGTTTGATTTAAGGTACTTCGAATGAAATGTGCATGTGAGAATAGGTTATTTTAAGAAGTCTATTACTTTAGTTATTTTGAAGAAGTTCATAGCTGCTAGAATTTCAGAAAATGGTCCTGTGAAATTCAAGGGGTGTGTGGTTTAAAATGCATGGTTGGTGTGCCAGGAGAGTGTGACTGGTGGCTGGAATGCACACCAAGGAAGACTGGGTTCTGGTGCAATTGGAGAGCTTCAGACACAGTATTGGATAAGTGTTTCTCCTAACAGGTCTTTATACTGAGCTTGTGTTTTCCTCTGTTTAAGCTTCATTTTGTGTTATTTTTTACCCATGTGCAGTAAGTTTTCAATCTATTACTGTGAATAAATTTTTTTTTACAAGTTGACAGCTTGAATTTCATGAGTACTGATAGAAGAAAAGACATAATAAATACTATTTTTCCTAATTTATTCATTCTCCTAGTACTTTTTCCAGGTTTGTTTAATTTGTCAGTCCTGTTCCACTAGGACTGCAAATCACAAGAATGTATTGAGGAAGTATCCCTGCCCAAAATGTCAAATCTGTACAAAGTTATGGGTTTTTTTTCTGAATGTGAATGTATAATACTTTTGTCCTTTAATGAACTTTCAGAGACTTATTTTCTTAGAAAATGTGTTATTAGGCAATCTTAAGTGGCATCTCTTACTATATGTAAGTGTTTAAAAGCTGTCTTTGTTAAAATTTTGGTCTTTATTAATGCTGTAGCGTAAAAGCCCTGGAGTGCAGCAGAATGTGTGGGGCTGTGCTGGACTGGTGTGTTTGGTCTGTGCTGCTTCTGTCCTTGCATTGTCTGTGTGTCAGGGCGTCCCTGTCAGTTCTGTTACTCTGCATTTCACACCGTGGAAGTGGGTTTGTCTGGGGAAATAAACCTGCTCCAGGTAGGTTTCAGTGTGAATCAGTTACCCTGACCTGATCAGCAAAGTCCTGTTAGGGCAAGCACACATGGGTAAAACAACAGGGAAGAGCAGGACAAAACTGTAACACTGACTTTGTCCCCAAATGCTTTCTAGCACAGAAATGTGTTCTAAAGATGACTGGGACAGAAAATGTTGTGCAATTGAGTGTTGGAGTAGTGCTGTGTCGTGAATATATTGTACTTTTGTATTGATAAAATACAGATGTCATACATTTAAAAATTTTATTTCTGGAGCATTAGCATAATATGCTTGTTGGATGCTTTTTCTGTAGCTTAGGTTCAGCAAAGAGAATTCCTTACTGTAGTGGAGTGTATATGTAGGTAGGTATTTCCAGAGCCTGAACGTCCATAGGAAATAGTAAAGTGAAGTCTAGTTTCATTGCTTGGTTCTCAAGAAAAACTTCTGTGGCAGATAGAAACAAATCTTTTAAAGAAATCTCTTTGCCTGTTTTAAATTTTGCTGACTTGGACCCTAATATACTGTGTTACTTATGAAATAGTACATGTATGGAATATTATAAAAGATATTTGTGACCTGGGGCTAGGATTGCTGCATTATTCATGAGTAAAGAAGTTATGAGTTACTTAGGTAAGAGATCCTATTAAATGTGTAATAGAACCTTGTGTAATACCATCAAGTGTTGTATGCTGGCTGTATTTCTTAAGCACATTTCCTGTGGAAGTGTTTTAAGATGGAAAACTTCCTGGATTGAACAGATGGATTTGTAATGAATGGACTCTTAATGCTGAGGTTGCTTGGTACCATGAATCCACCTGTGTAAGGCTTGAACAAAGAAAATAACATTCTCTGCTTCTGCTTTGCTTTTGCTAAAGACCACTGGCTACAAGGAGCTTCTTGTGACCATGGACAGGATGTTAATGTTAAATCTCTGTTTTTCCTTGGCTTCCATCTGTGAGAAGCAAAGGGACACTTTGATCTTACAGGTGTTCTTTTAGTTTAGTTCCTAAAAGGTAATGTTCAAATCTGTTCCACAGTCTAAATCACTAACAAGCTAGAATTTAGCAAGTAAAATGTAGACTGTGAGGGGGATGGTCAGAGTGTATTATAAATGCCATTTATCCATTAGGATATTACTAAACAAGTAGAAAACTTATGTCATTGTTGTCACATTATGCTATGAAAGAAAAGTACTTTTTCAAGACAGTAACCCTAACTTTTCAATCAAATACATTATAGATAATACTCTCTTCATTTCTTTTTTCTAATTCAGGAGGGCTGAACACTCTGAAACAGCAGGGGGGAGAAAAGTGTCACCTTTGAAAGATAACCTTTCACCATGGGAAGAGTGGTTCATTGGCAAAGAGAAGGAGCTGCGTGCCCGCTTGCAGGCTAGAGCTGCAGAGGTGACTACATCCAGCTCTTCTGATTCTAATAGAAGAGAGCAGACACAGGATTTTCTTTTCCCTGGTTGTAGTTGTTGTGTTTTTTTTTAGTGCTTTAGGCCTCCATAGAGTTGGTGTTTGTCAGTGCTGGCGTGATTCATGTTATGTGCATTTCTTTTGCTGCATGTTATGCTTCATTGAATAATATTTTGTTTATCCAACTGTCAGGTCATGGTTCAATATTAGAAGATTAAAACATGTATGTAATTACTGCCTTGATTTTCATCATGGGTGCATAGGGCTGCATGTAGGTTGCAGAAGAAGATGGGATGTGTGCTGGTTGTAAGTATGCCAAGCTACACTGTTGGTTCTGAGGAACAATGTTGTTACCTGCTTAGCACATCATTTTACAACTGTTTGGTGTCCTTTCCCAGGAAAGGAATCCCCATTACAGCATTTTTTTCCCCCTTGCAGATGAACAGTTCTTGAGAACCAGGGCTGGGTCACAATTAAGTGAGAGCACCCCTATCTTTTCCTGATTACTCTGTTTGTAGTTGCAGTTGGTTAAATTATACCATTGTTGGACATCAAATGGGAAGTATTGGGTAGTGATTAGAACAATCGCATCAAAATTAGATAATTTCTCGCTTTAGTTACTGATTAACTACTTGACCTTGAACGTTTTCCTAGCCTTTCTGGGATTATCTGTCAAGTTTTATGTGGGCTACCTCATGTTGTGTATAAAACACCTACCACTGGAAGGCTCAGGAGCAGAATTTTGCAGGTCAGCAGTACACCAAAGTAGTTTGTTAAACTTGAGGAATATGCTTTGATCCTTTAATCCACATCCACCAAACGTTCCATGACTTCCCGTTTGTATTCTGGATTGGTAATGTCAATGCAAGCTGGCAGATGTCTCTCAACTAAGTATTAAGAACAGTCATAGAACAAGCATTGTTTAAGGCCATGTAGAAAATAGTCATACAGTTTGTAAGATTTTGAAAACATTAGATGTTAAACTGCAGCAAGACAGAGCAAAAACCTTATATTTGGGAGAAAAATATAATCAACATTTTTGTAGGATGCTAGAGGAGAATGAGATATGTGATATTTATACAAAAAAATATTGCTCTGTTGGTATTATAAAAGTGTTCTAAACTGATGTCCCGAGGAACAACAGTGAAGTTCCAAATCTTTTGCTGACATTAGTGCCAAGTCTGCCCTGAAGACTGCCCTGTCAAAAAGGTGGATAAACATTTGGAGTGGAATTAGGTTGGATCTTCTAAGATGCTTAGAGTGCCATCAGCTTTTACAGGAACTAGAATCCCTGCACTACAGGTGTCTTGGAACTCAAAAGCGATATTATTTGGGGTAATTTTGCCTCAATGCAGCAACAACTATATTTTCAAACTGTGTCTGTATTGTGGGTGTTTGAGCTTTCTGTAAGCTTCTACTGATATCCTACTAAACTGAAATTCTGTGTCATAAGAAAGGGGTTCTCTCTGAAACTGACTGCAGTGTAGGGACCATAAAATCAGTTTCATGGAAATAATTCCATCTGTGTTTGAAGGTATGAATTTTCATTGAAAATTAATATTTTGTATTAATGTTACTGTTGGAGAAGCTGGACATCTCAAATTGTCTCCTTAGTTATGTTCTTTCTTTATTAACTTCACTGGAGAGATACAAATGGTTGCATATATACTATGTCATGTCCATATACTTGGAAAATTTCTTCTCACCTTCAAATTAAAACTCCTGTTTGAAAATTTGCCAGAATCTGCAATAATTTTGTCTTTAGTAAGCCTTGGGTTAAGCCCTAAAGTTCTAGTAGTTCTGATACTAAAACTCACAGGTGAATAATATTTCACTTAGCTTTTCATACCATCCACTGTGCAGAGCAATACACAGTGTAAATTTTAAATATTGTAGGAGAGTACTGCTGCAAATTAAGAGTCTGCTGACTAAAAAGGCATTTCAATAAACTGAGGAATGATTTGATGTATTTCCAGTTAATATCCTAAAAATGATATATTTTCATTAACTGTATTTCATACTATTTCTATGTTGACTGCCATTCTTCTTCTCCAAAATCTTAGTGAAGGAAAATATACCAAAATCTAATGCTTACATTGCTTTAACTGCAGCACTACTGCCAGCATTGCTGTAAATGGTCACCGCAGATTTGAAATGTATCCTTTTTTTGTAATTAGGAAATGAGTAAACAGCTTGAGGAAATGAAGCAAAATCAAGAATGGGAACGAAGAAAAAGGATAGCTGAAGAGAAACACAAGGAATGGGTCCTAAAAAAGAGAGAAGAGGTAAATATTGCATTGACTGGAAATATTCTAGTACATGGCGTGCTTGAGTAAGCCTGTGTAAAATTTACTCAGTCTGTTTGCCATGTTTTCAGTTTGCTGAGTAAATGGCTGCTTTAATTGAAAATTATAAAAACATGCCAAAGCAGCTAAACATTTTTTCAAGATTGATTTTTTTTTTTTCCTGTGGGGTACAAAGGGATTTGTTTTCTGAATAGTCACATAATTGACAGCGAGTGTATATCTATGCAGTAGCCTTCTGCTGATGACAGCAGGGGTTTTGGTCTTCAGTGCACCCAGAATTCCCAAGTTCAGTGCCCAAACATTTTTTGGGTAAGTGTACATCTTGACTGTGTGCAATGTTTTGTACACCAGGCAGAGCCAGAAGAAGGATTTAGTTAAATACCACCACGGGTAGGAAGGAGTATTTACCACAGGATGCGGTTTAGGGGGGGTAACTGAGGTGTGGGGCAGATTGAGGGAACTGTCAGTAGACACAGTTAGCAATTGGGAATTCCTTCAGCCAGTAAGGAATTTCTGGGTGGGATTAAAAGGCTTTTGAGTTCTCTTGAGGGAGTGCCTGAGTCCAGGGTGAGAAACAGCCAGAGTGCTGATCTCAGTGGGGCTGTGTGACAGCTGTGTCACAGCTGGTGAGCACGTGCCCTGGCTGGCAGCAGTGGGAGCCCAGGGCGTGTTTCGTGTGTTCACAGTCCCGTGGTCTGCAGCAATACCAGCTGCTCACTGCATTCACTTCTGCTTCTGAGCAAAAGCAGGTGAAAATTCACCCAAAATATCGCAACAGCACTAGATGGGTGGGGTGGGCAGGCTTCCTACATTTGTGTTCATGGTTTTAGAGCTCCTTCAGATTCAGCCTAGATGCAGTAGAATAATATATATTTGGATCTAACCTAATTCATCTTAGTCTTAATGCTGGTTGGATAATTGGCAGAAACCTTCTGCAGAACCTATCCTGCTCTATTAATTTCTTATGATTTATATTACTAATTAAAGTACACAAGTAAAAGTAGATTTATTTTTCAGCTTATACAATTCTATTTTCCTCTTCCAAAATGAAATCTAAATGAAAATTAAATTCTGGGTGTCTGTAACTATTCATTGGCTTGAAGGAGTTGGTCTGCCTCTTAAAATAGTTTTAGTTCAAAACCAGAAGTTTTCCTTCTGTCTCCTCCTCCTACTACCTCCTTTAGCTTCCATAAATTTCTACTTATTTGGATTTTCCTTGGAACTTTGTGGATTTAGTGGTTATCAACTTATATTCTGTTGTCAGTGGGATTAGGAGGTCATTTTTATGGTAATTGCACCAGCCCAGAGGACAGGAGAAAAAACATGCTTGTGTCTGGACTTTATCAAATTATGTTTTGGAAGCATAGGATCATCCTTAGAGCAAGTTTTTAGAAAAAAGTAAGCTGATTTTTATTTAAATCAGATGATTCGTTGGCTAGTCTTTCCTATAAACCACACTCAAATCAAGGATAAACTGAATTTAAAAGCTTAGCTGTCCATAGGATATTAACATTTGTGCTGTGTAGATTGTTCCACCTCAAGTTTCTGCAAGATTATTTGTGGATTTGGATACAGACTGAAGGACAAATATGTCAGTACAGTGACTAAGATGTTTAAAGGCGCATCAGGATTTCACCTGTAGCTGAGGTAAGAGTCGTGAGCACTGACATTTGATATCACTTTTTTGAGGAGTGTGTATCTCCTGTTTTTAAAAAACTTCATTTCCTCATAGAAGTATCCGAAGATGCTTCTTGGGGCAAAGCTTGCAGTATTTTTCACTGAAATTTGCATTAGGCACTCACCTTTTTGAAGCTCAGTTACTTGTTCTGAGCCCTGTGTGCAGGGAGCAGAAAGTGCTTTATTTAGAAGAGACAGTGCTTTCAGGGACCTTACCTCTGTAATCCCCACAAGCCTGTGTCCTGTCCCATTGCTCAGTACTGAAGTGATAAAGAAAGGAGGGCACATGTGAGCACACGTGAAACTTCTTCCTTCATCTTGAGCATCCAGCACCAGGAGACACTGCTGGAACTGTCTGTGTACTGGGAATGTGAGAGATGCTCGTGTCAGAATTAAAATGTTTGCATATGCATAAGAGAATTCTGGTTTTCTGTATGTCAAGCCAGTATTCTTGCATGGCAGTTATTGTTGTGATGCTCTCTTTAGCTGTTAAATATGGTCCTTTAGGGTGAGGTTAGGAAGCAAAGCTTAAACACTGTTTTTGTTCACTACTGGTTTTTTTATTATTTAATATAAATTTAAAAATATATGCTGTTGTGTTTTTTTATGCTTCTAATTATTTTGCAGAAACTATTTTTGAAAGTAAAGGAATCCTAGCTATTTAGTGTTCCTCTATGTAAATACTTTTGTGGTTCTTAAAGGTGGTAAATGAACTAGAAGTAATATTTTGAAATACGAGCTATCAAAGAACATGGAAGCCATGAAATATGTTTGTAGAAATATTTGTTCATGGCAGCATTTTTCAGCTCACTAGGAATTAAAAGATTAATAAAACCAGTTTTTAGGCACTATCTTGGAGCTGATAATGCCTTCACAATTTTCAGTTAGATACTGGATCCCTCCTGGACAAAAATAGTCTTACTTTCTCTCCCTCTTAAAGTTGAGCCATTTGTGGGCAAACAGTAAATTGTCTGTTGACTTTTTGGCAAGTATCAATTGAAATATTTTAACTCTAAAATAATGCTAAGCATGCTTTTGATTCCAGAAGAAAAATGAACATAACATGATGTTTTATGTAACTAAAATGTTTATTTCTGAGTTACTGTTAGCTTTAGTGATAAAATGAAGTGGCTGTGGTTGTAAATGCTGAGCAAGTAAGTTTGGTGTTGAGTTCCTGTTTTATGTGAATTTGTGTTGTGAAGTCTGTTTCATTCCTATCATCAGCTGTGGGACTGAACACTTTAGTAAGGTAATTTCGGTAAGGTACCTGTAATTGTGGAATTGCAGATTTCAAATCAAAGTATGAAAAGCTTTTGAGAAATGCATTGTGAATTCATAAGCTGTGAAGAACCTGTAAACTGCCATGACATTTTAATTCTTTATCATTGTCATCACAGTCAGAACCTCTTAGGAATTATTGCTGAATAAAATACTAGGATTAAAGCTCAGGCCTGATGACAACAGCTTTTTGATGGCATATTAAAAAAAATCAGCTCTGATGCAGTGCACTCTACCTTGTACAGTCTAATATGGTATCTTGAAATCATACTTAATCCACCTTTACTGGCTCTGCAAAGCTGCTGCATTTTTACAATGTCAGTAGAGCATGAACTTAGAAATACCTGGAGTACCCAATTCGTATATATACGTGAGTGTACATATAAGTATTTATATTATTATGGTTTTGGGTTAGCACCAGGAGGCAGCTGAGACTCCCCTTGCTCCCCCAGCTTTTCTTGCTGAGCAGGATGGTCTGGGATTTCCCTTGGGCTGGGGGCTGTCAATTCTGGCTGTGCCCCCTCCCAGCTCCTCCTGCACCCCCTGACTGTGCCCTGCTGGCATGGGGTGAGAGGCAGGAAAGGTCTTGAAGCTTTATCAGCACTGCTTAGTGATAACTTGTTATCACAAACTATATTTTGTTCTCAAACCCAAGCACAGCACAGCAGGAGCTGCTGTGAAGAAAATTAACTCCATCCAAACCAAAACCCAGTACATGTGTTGTGCATGTGTTTGCAACAGTGACAGAAATCCCCAAAGAGGAATACTTGCATTCAAAAATAACTGCAATTCTGAAACTCATTTTGTTAACATCCCTGTATTTAATGTTTGCATGTAATTTTTGTCCTGTAATAATGTGATACCTAGCAAAGTTGTAACAGCACAAGTAGTGAAGTTAGAATTTTCCCATTAGAAAAACCCATTATTCTAATAGCAATCTAAAATTGACTGTAGCATTTCTAATAATTTCTGCATTGTTGAATAGAGAATGAGGCAACAAATTTATTTTTCCTATAAAAGTAAATATTACCAAGCAGGCATTAAAGATGGAATTTGGATGTTCAACAGTTTTTATTGTTCTGTATTTTTCAATAAGTCCACTTACTGAAAAATAGAATTTGTAATGGAAACTAGGTACAGGATGGAAAAGTTCTGTTGGAATGTTTTTTCATGGAAAATTTTGTTCTTTCCATTTACTGTGCTGTTGGCTGATAGCCTTTATGAGAAGCAAAAAGCATTAAGGAGTATATGAAAGCCTAGAACCAACACAGTGTGCAGTAATAAATGACAGTGTTCTTGGAGCAGACTTCCCTTTTTGGTGTGCTGGTTCCTCCAGAAGAGACACCTTACACCAAAGGCTTTTTGTTTAATGTCTCTTTTATCTCAGCATGGTTTTAATACAGAGCACAGATTGTTCCACAGCTTGAGCATGACTTTCAAGTTCAAAAGCTGTGCTTGCTCATGCTCTCTGTCTTTCATCCAATGGGTTGTTAATGATTTTGTGAGGAAGGTAGCACTCCCACAGAAGGGGTGGAGAATCCTGTCATGCCAGCCTGCAGCTTGGGGACATGTTAATTGGAATCTCCTCTGGCAGAAAGGTGATGAAATCCAGATCTTCCCTGTCTAGATTAATATTCTCACAGCTGAACTGTTGTTGAGTCAAACACTGGTTGCTAATGGAGAGCCTAATGTACTATGTTTTTTGCTGACAGTTTAGACTTGAAAGAGATGCTAAGATGTCCACTTGTTTAAGACTGAACCCTTTCAAGAAGTGTTTTTTGTGAGGGAAGCTGCTAGTAGAAATGCTTTCCAGTCATGACAACCAACTGCATTTAAGAATTAAAATTTTGTTTATGTACCTAAGTCTGTCTTTACATATCTAAATATTTGTTTTGAGTCTTAATTTCTTAAGGTGGTTTGTTTTTTTTTTTTTTTTTTTTTTTTTTTTTTTTTTTTTTTTTTTTTTTGTTTTTTTTTTTTTGTTTTTTTGGCATATTGTGGGTCTTTTGCTCTCTGGACCTGAAAAGTCTTTACACAGAATTTTTCTGTGGTGTCATGCGTGACCAATGCCATGGTTATAATTTCAGGTTGTACCTGAATCTTAATCTCCTTTAGATTGCTGTAAGTAGAATGAACTAATTTCTCATGTTGAGTGTTAGAATGAGTTTTAGACAGTGTTTTGGAAGAGGAATTCAGTGTGACAGGTGAATATGAGTGCTCAATTATTTCAGCAGCATTTGTGGAATCCACATTCTTCTGAAGATCCCAGGAGTGTTCCAGGAACAAGTACACTAAAACTTTTTGCTTGTCACATGCATTGAGTCCCCACGTGAAATGAACACAGTTTGGGAGAAAGATGCAGTAATTCTCCAGTTCCTAGACTGCAGTGGGGTCTGCCATGACTCTGTGGACTTGAGCAGTAAATTGGTATAACCCAGCTTGTCAAGAGCCATCTGCAGCTCAGGCTGTTGCTGATCTCCTTCGTAGCCTCTTGTTGTTTTCACATGGAGATTCTAGAGAGATTAGAGAAGTATTCATGTGGGCTAGGCCTGGTCATTGAGTTGTGTTATGGGGCAAAGTTGAAAAGATAATTACAGCTGTCTGAATGATTTCCAAGACTGCCAGAAGTGGTTGATGTCCACAATTATTATGAGGATAAACAAGTAAATTAGGATGTGTCTTCTGATGTTGGCAATGTGGGCTTTTCCTGTTTTTTGCCATCGGTCAGCATTAACTGATGCTAGAATATGCTAGCCAAGATGTCAGCAAACAGCTGTGAAGTAGAACACTTATCTGTGAAAAGAAACATGTCACATTCTGCAGATGATAAGATGGAAAGGATTGTTTTGAGAAGTATCTTAAAAATACCAATCACATCATTAGTTTCTGGAAATACTTCCACTCAGGGACAGTCCACACAGAAAATGCAGAACAGAAAGCTCCTCTGCACTTTGCACATTCCAGCCGCTCGATTGCTCAGTGATGTGAAAATACAGATATACATATTCTAGTAGTTTTCTTCCAGCTGGATATAGTGCCTCTGTTTCAAAAGCAGTTAGGATTTTTTTTTCCCTGCGGGGAAAATCATTTGCTCTTCTTACCTTCTGTCAGGACACTACTTCAAGTCTTTAAATCCTTTGACCATTCACCATATCTGTGTAGGTCTGATTTTTCTGGAGAAGATAAATGCTGTTGGCAGAGTCACCATCACATCTTTGTGGGACAGGTGATTTGTGTGGGGTGGGGGATTTCCAGGGACTCACCTAAGCCAGGCTTCATTGCGTTCTGAGACCTGATGGAATCACAGCGCAGAGCACTGAACCTTCAGGGTGGATTTGTATCCTTTCTCCTTGATCATGTGCTTGGCCAGGGTGGCAGGAGAACAAGCCTTTCTTGCAGTGAGTAATTGAATGTTTTGCAATCAATACCTTAATTTAGGTAATACCCACAACCATGTAGCAGTATATGTAAATTTACTGGGGTTTAGTGAATAGATTGTGACTGTTTTGAACACAAGATCAAAGAGAATTTTTAAAACCCAATCTAAACAACACCAAGCATAAACAAGAAATTTCTTCCTTCACATATACATGGAAGAAAAGGAAAAGAAGGAATGACATGGATGTTAATATGCACATTCATAGCATTTTTGATAGACTTTTGTAATGAGGATGGGAAAAAAGCTGGGACAGTCAGGGTGACAGAAGCTTGACATGGAACAGGTTACTAAAGCTGGGGATGTGGTCTACACTAAATTTATGAAGGAAAATCTGTTCTGATTTTGGGAGAAAGAGGAAGCATTTCTGGTTTGTCTGCAGAAAAATTTCTAGGCAGTGTAAAGTCTGTAATTCTGCAGGGAGTCCCCCTGTCTTAGGGATGTCTCACTGGAAGTAAAACTTAGCAATAGTTGTGTGGTAGTGTGTGTGGCACACACACTCTTTCATGGTACTGTGTGTGGCATGTTATTGTTTACATAGGACCTAATTTAACTTTGAGTCAGCCTAGAGAGTAGCTAGACTCATCTGGGTATTGTGATTTAAAACAGATAAGTTAAGAAGCTTCCCTGCCTTGCTTTTATAGTATTTAGACAGATTTTTCGTCTACTTTCTGCTTGTAATGGTTTTCCATTATGGAACCATTCCCCTAGGTATGGAAGTAGCCCTTTTTTTTTTTCAGTTTTCTCCTATATTTATTTTCATGTGTTTTATACAATAAACCCTTAGCTAAAGGCTGTAGTTTTGGGTGATCCTTAGTTTTGTAACTTACTTTCACGTACACTAGAGGTAAGTCAGCAAAAAACAAAATGTGCAAAATCTTTATAAGCCGCCTTCTCCCATAGTTTAACTCACTGATTTCACAGATATCTCTCATGTACCTTAATGCTTTTTATGTGTCCCAGAAAGCATTGTTTCAGAACTGGAGTTGTTGGCGCATTTGTGGAGTATTTAATGATGAAGAGACAGAGAAACAGCTCTGAATAAAAGAGATTGAGATGAATTGTAGACAAAGAAGGAGGGAAAGCCTAGACAGTTGGTTATTTGTTTTTTTTTCAGGAAGGAATTGGAATGTATTAATATTTGACCATTTTCCCTATGCTACAAAACAGATTAAGCTGATATTTGCTAGAATGTGTTAGAAGTGAAATGGAAAAAACCCCACCGAACAAGGAAAAAAATCAAGGAGAAAATCGAGCTAAAAAGCTAGTTGTAGTTGTTTTGTGAAATTGTGTCCACAAAGAAGTCTTCATTGTCAAATAAGAATATTTGACAAGAGTATGCCAGAGCAGTACTACTGAAAGTATCCTTATCATTTTAGGTGAAGCAACATCCCCCTTGGAGATGATGGCAGATGGAGCTACCAAAGCCTAGCTTGTAACAGGGGGTGGGTGGGGGGCAATGCCACAGTGCCTGGTACAGCTGCTGGTGGTGAAGCTGCAGTCATGCTCCTGGTGCTGGCAAGCAGAGCAGGACACAAACTCCAGTGGTTCTGGAGTTCCAGTTCTTCTTTCCTGGCAGAAATCAGCTAAGTGTGCTGCTAGATAAGCTGAGCTTTTTATTCTCAGTGCTGCTTTATTGCATTGCTGGTGGTTTTGGTGTGGGGGCACAAGCACTGGGCCAGCAGGTTTAGACCATACTGTTCAGACCAGGCTGAGGGAATTGTGCTGCTCCCCAGCTGCAGTCTTATGGCTTCTGCATCATTATGCATAATTGAAGTTTCCATAAGTGCAGTAACCCTGGGAAAAAGGTGGGGGAGAGCTCTAGATTTCTGCCTTTTTGTTCTTTTAATGGGAAAAATGGTAATAGATAATGATGGAATGGGAATATATTTCTGGTTTTCTTGAGAATGTGTTTTTCCCATATTTTATTTATTTATTATAGTTTGCAGCTGTAGTTCTAGCCATTCATATCCATACTGCCAACTGTAATAATTCTGAGTCAGTATGAGTTTCTGCTGAGGTACAACTCTCCTTTGTTCAAGAGGACTGTGCAGGGAAGTGTATAAGTAGATTTCTTAAAAGAAAAACAACATACTTTTTCAACAGCTCTTTTCTATTAAGGGGAAACTGGTCTTTAGTCTTGTGCCTCTCTTCCAAGTCATGTGCACAGCTTGTCTGGTAGATTTCTGCTTCTGCACATATATGCAGCTGCTTCAGAGCGAAGTGAGTTAAGCAGAACTGGAATCAATCAGTAGATTCCAGACACTTCATAAGGGTTACAAGGAACAGAAATGAGAGCTATTGGCACTCTTTAAATGAAAATATCTCCCTCTCCAGACCAAGCAAAGGCCAGTGGATATATGGTTGTTTGCTTAGAGAAGGATCCTCAGAACACTGTTGTTGGATACACACACACTGAAAAGATGTAGAAGTGAGTGACGCCTCTGGTGTGTTCTGTGTTCCAAATCATACAGGCAGCAATTTCACTTTACCCTCAAGTTACCATTTTGCCTACCCCAGAATGTGTTTTCTCATTTTCCTTTTCATAATTTGAAGAGGAGAATTGTGTGGTTTGATTTATTGAAGTAGTCCCTATGTGAATAAACTAAAGGGTATAAAATACTTAAGAGAACACCACAAAATATGAACTGTATTTTTATATGAACTTTTTTATTGTTTAATTTGTGCTGAACTGTGCTGAACAATTGCATATCTCAGCGACCCTTAGAAAGGGGCAGTTTACCTGACTTGCATTTGTAGTTTGCTCTAGAATCACTGACAAGTAAAGCTAACACACGACTGTTGAGAATTGCAACATGTATTTCATTCCCAGAAATATTTAGATATGTCTAAAGTTATTAAAAAAATCTCTGAATAAATAAAATATAGCAGTAAACCTGAGGAGATCTGAAAGTAAAATTTTTATAGTCTTTTTTGACAAGTTTGTATGTCTGTCGTGCCTGGAATCTAGCAGTGAATAGGTTCTGATTTCAAAAAGCTTATAGCATCATAGATTTTTTCATGTTTATGATAATTTCTTTTGTAATTGTGTAATAAAATTTACTGTATTCCTCAAAAGAATTGCTCATTGAAATATACTAAAAAATTTCTATTCTGTTTCTTTGATGTGTTTCACATAGGAAAGAAGAGAAAGGAAACGAAAACTGAGCAAAGAAATGGCAGAAAAAGCAACAAGGGAACTAGAAAAAATGCAGTTAAAAGAAAAGGCTGACGTAAAGTATAAAGAATGGTTAGAGAAGAAGAGAGCTGAAGAGGCAGAAAAGAAGAAAAAAGAGAAGGTGTTAATGAACTGATCATTTATTTGGATGGAGTTACTTACTCTGCAACTTATTGCAGATTCAGATTTGATATATTCAGATCTGGCATTGAATGTATGGACATCAAATGGCAGTGTTGTACATGAAGAAAAGTCTTTCAGGAGATACTGTGTTAGTGCATTAAAGGCACTGTGGTATGGTCAGCAAAGTAAGATGCATATTAGTGCATTTTTGTTAATAGCCCTTGATATTTTTTTTTCAGGCAAACACTGGAGTAACATGGAGGTTGGGTGTTGGGGTTTTTTTTCAGTCTTAAACCAAAAAATGCATATTTTCCATTGTTAGGAAAAGATGCTTGTATTTGAAGAAATACTTGAATTGTATTCAGCAGTCTGGAAATGGGCAAAAAATTATATACTGTTTTGTGTATATTGTACAGGACTTTGTCTAGGAGTACCTTTTTTTTTTATTTCTAGGAAAAAGAAAAAGAACGGGAGGCTGAGCAACAGGAGAAGAGAATAAGATCAGAGAAAATCTTTAAGGAATGGCTGCAAAATGCTAGAAATAAACCACAACCTGCTTTAAATGGTTATGGTTTCCCACATGGGAGGTCTACAGGTTTGTATGTACAGTACAAATATGAAGTGACTTGGGTTTGTGGTTCCTTCCTTCCAGTATTTTAGTGTAAAATGAAGGTTGTTTAAGACACTCATCTAATACCTAGTATTGGCACACAGGAATGGTTACTTATACTATGCTATAAGTCAGGGAAACAGATTGAGACCTTTTGTGTCTTTGCTTTTTGTTTATTTATTTATTGGGAGGAAAATTACATCATTTGAGATAATGTGGCATACCAAAGGATGATTTTATCTGATTTTTCTTACCAGGCATAGGAATCACTAGAGCAAAGTACTGGGTCCTGTGAAGCAAATTATTTATTTCATTGTCAAGTTAGTTTTTGTGTTACAGAAGGTGTGTGTCAGCACATCTGAATCCCCCTTAGAAAAGAGGTGGGGTTTTGAGACACACAGGAACAATTAGAAGCTGAAAGAAGTCCTGTCTGAAAAAGGAGACAGGGGCATCAACCTGTGTTCTGAGCTAAAATTTCCTTTTTGTTTTGCTTTTCACCTGCATTGCACCTCCTTGGCTTCTGTAATCCTGTTCCATTTTTGTTTGAAAACGTCTTATTTTTCTATGCAACTAAAATAACTGCTTCTATTTGACTTTGCAACAGAAATAGTTTTGAGACCAAAATTCTGATCTCTGAACGTTTAAGAGACAGGGATCTCTGAATGTTTAAGAGACAGGTATAAAGACAGGTGAATAACCTTTACTCTTCTGCTTACATTCATTTGTAAATAGTTATATACCTTGTCTTCCTGTTTTGGTTGGACCTGCATTACATGCTGACAGCTGCAATCATTTATTGAAATGATTTTTGAAATATATTTGTATACTCACTTGTGTCATTCAGTATAGTGTATTACAGACTTTGAAGTGCATGCATTATGTGGTTGGGTAAAACAAAGCAGCCAATTTGTAGACTTTGACAGTTTTTAAAAAACACAAAGGACTGAGCATTCAACCTGCTTATTATTTAAGTAGAGGTGAAGAATATAAAAAAACAAAAAGGTAGAATGGTTATTGTTTTGGATCACTTTAATTATGTGATGTGCCTGTGCTGCCTTTATCTGAAGATGTTGTGTTGTATTTAGTCCAGATAATTATTATCACTGCTTGCATTGGCAAGCTTGTAGTGTAAATATTCCTTCTCAGTTATGTGTATTTTCTAAATGTTTCAGGGAGTGCTGATAGAAATTTGTATCCAGCTCCAGCATATTGTAACCCCATTCCCTGGAAGCCGGTACATGTGCCTCCCCCAAAGGAAGACAGAGTTCTCACCATGAAGAAGAGTCAGAGACCTGTATCTTGTCAGCCACATGCAGCTTTACCAGTGGTGTTTTCTAAGCCCAGGAGTAACCCTTGTACTGGATCCCTGTGCAGAAAGAAGTTATAGTCCAGAAAAAATGTCCTTACAATCTTGACCATAAATGTGACCTTCTGTGTAGTTACATGTCCAGTGCAGATTGCTTTGTGTCTTTTTTTTTTGTTTTCCATTTTTATAAGCAGGTTTTGTGTTTACTGCTAGTTGACCAATCAGGCTTTTGATGTTTTTTTTCTATATTGCATTTTAGTTTAAAAAAAAAGAAGATTAATTGTAATGGGACTGTACCTCGATGCCAATAAAATGCACAGGCTTGTTTTTTCCTTTCTTGTTGTTAAAGTTCTTTTGTATATGTAAATATTCTTTTGGGCAACAGTATTAACTAGGTTATTTTAAAGATAATTTTCATTTGTAACAAATTGTTTTGTTTGAATTTGTAACAATTTTTAAAACAGTTACTGGCTTAATGCAGAAGGAATTGGCGTGCCTCAGCTCCAGGGTTACCATGTCACTGTGATGACAGAGATACAGTGGGATAGCTGGAGTGCTTCCAGGAATGGATGTGGGCACTTTAGGGAAGCACAGGATCTTTGCTGGCCCTGATGTACAAACCAAGGACATCAGGTCAGGGGTGTGAGGTTTGGTGCCAGTGATGACAGTCTGTGGGGTTTGGTAGGGTGCACCTGAGGGTGCTGAGGAAGTGGCACATGCCACTGTAAGGATACTCTCTGTGATCTTTGAGGGGCCTGGTGATGAGGGGAGGTTCCTGAGAGCTAGGAGGAAGCGAGTGTCAAGCCAGCCTTCAGGAGGGAGTGTGTGCAGGAGTGCAGGCCAGCAGTCAGCCTCTCCTCAGTCACCTGGACAGCTGATGGATGTGGCCAGTGCAGCCAGCAGCCTCCTGGGCTGCAGAGGAGGAGTCTGTCCCCTGTACCGTAACTGGGAGACCACACTTGGAGTGCTGGGCCTGTTCCTGGGCAGGAATGTGCCAGGAAAAACTGACACTGATGTTCTGGAGCAAGCTCAGTGAAGGGCCACAAAGGTAATGAAAGGATTGCAGCACCTGACAGAAGGTGAGAGAGCTGTGACTGTTCAGCATGAAGGAGAGAAGGTCCAGTAACATCTGAGCAATGTCTGTAAATCCCTGACGGCTGGAGAGAGAGCAGACTCTCCTCAGTAGTGCCCAGCGAGAGGAGACGAGGCGGGGACTGGAAATCAAAATACAGGAAATTCCATTTAAACATGGGGCAAAAATGTTAACAGGAAGAGTCATCAAATGCTGGAAAAAATTGGCCAGTGGTGTTGTGGAGTTTCCATTCTTGGACATACTCAAAACCTGACTGGACATAGCCCTGAGAAAACTTCTCCACTTGGCCCTCTATTGAACAATAGAGTTGGACTAGACCATTTCTAGAGATCCATTCCAATCTCAACAATTCTGTTATTAATGGTGAAAAGGAAAAAGCAGAAATAAAAGACTTATTTTTCCTGTTGTAGTTGTATCACTTTGAGAAATACCTTGTTATCATTAAAAAGTTATAGTATTAAAAAGTATATTGCAAATTATGAAATTTATGTGGTAAGAAAACACAGTCACATTCTGGAATGTAAGAGTTCTGTTGATCTAGTTCTGGGCTTAATATTATATTTTAATTTCTTCATGTCAAGTTTATACCTCATAGAATACTTATACCATTACTTTGGGTGAATCAGTTTATACAATATGCCTGTGTCTGTTCTTTCTAGATAGCGGAAAATGCTAACAAGACTGCAACACCTTACAGTTGCACTGATAGATTATTTGGTTTGTGTTTGCATTCAGACTTACACCAAGTTTTAATTTTACTGTATGCATTTAGGAGAAGTCTGGCATCTGTAAAATACATGAAACATCAAACTGTGTTTCTGGTAAGTAGAAGCACACAGAATACTGCACATTGTCTTCAGGATGTAGAACTCTGTGTCCATCTTTTTCTAGAGTTATGTTGTTGTAGGCACACAGTTGGTGGTGATTGGGAGTGGGGCTGATCCCTAATTGATCCCTAATTGGCTCCAGCTATGCAGCACAGGTGAATGCTATTGAAGGTGAGGAGCCATGGAGTGCCCAGGGGTGCTGCCCAATCCCACAGGGAGCAGAGGGCACACAGCTGCACTGCATCAACAGCAGGGCACAAAAGGTGGTAAGCAGATGCTCAAAACCTTCTCTGGTGTCGGTGGTGGCCTGTATATTGGTGGTTCCCGTATATTGGTGACCCCAGCATGATTTGGGGTTTTGCTGTAGGGTGAGTTGGAGCCGGAGCCCAGTGCAGCCTTGAGAGCAGTGAAGGGACCCTGCCCGATGGACCAGACTGGATTTGGCACCTGAGGTACAGGTGAGCTGCTGGGAACATCATGGGAACTAACTCCAGACCATCTAAGGCAACAAAAGCTGTGAAAGGAGCAAGAGAAGTTGTTAGAGCAGCAGTAGGAGCTAGAGGCAGAGGGCTCTGCTGTTCAGTGCCACGTGTTGGTTTGCTGGTGAAGTGTGTGCATTGTGCTTGGGAATTGCAGCTCTTAGGATGGGGGCATGTAGATTCTATCTTCTGTGTTACTTCATGGAGTTGTGTGGCTGTGGATGGAATTCTGTAATTCTGTTATTACTGTGTGTTACTTTATGGAGTTTTGTGCCTGTGGATGGAATTCTGTTATTCTTGTGTGTTACTTTATGAAATTGTGTGGGATTCTGGAACTGTTTTTCTTGTGTGTTACTTTATAAAGTTGTACAGCTGTTGATACTGTCAGTGTTCTGGAAGTGTAGGTATGAGAATTTTTGATGATATGAAATGCAAGTTTGGGGAGTGAATCAAGGTCAGGACACATTCCAGAGTCAGTGGAGCCTGCACAAGGGATACTTGTGCCATATCTGGTATTTCTTCTGCAAGGGCCCTGTAGGGGAATGGTTGACAATGGCATTTATTTAACAGAAAACAAAAAAAAGGGGAATTGTTGTCGGCACTCGGTGGTGATTGGGAGTGGGGCTGATCCCTAATTGATCCCTAATTGGCTCCAGCTGTGCAGCACAGGTGAATGCTATTGAAGGTGAGGAGCCATGGAGTGCCCAGGGGTGCTGCCCAATCCCACAGGGAGCAGAGGGCACACAGCTGCACTGCATCAACAGCAGGGCACAAAAGGAGGGGGGCTGATGACTAAAGCCTCCTTGAGTGTCATTGTGGCTCTGCCTTTGCTCTGATATTAGGTGAGCTGTGTGAAGCTTGTGAGTGTTTAAGGTCAAGGGATAGTATTTGACTGTAATACAAATGATTCATTTTGGATTAGCTTACAGAGATTTCGTGGGACTCTGATTTAGTTGAAGAGTCATATGCTATTTTAGTGTTTTCTCCAACAGATTCTCTGAATGTGACCACCAGTAAGGTGTGTTGACATAATTATCTGAGTGTATGTTGATGGCTTTGTATTTCTTTTTGGATTTATTTGCTTGTAGTGAAATAAAATGAACTCGTGGGCTTAGAACCCTTAAAATAGAATGAGGCCCTTGCTATAGCTTATCCATACTATTGTAAAGACAGTTCTGTCCTAACTAAATTGCAGCAAAAGGTTAAGGCAAGATAGCTGCTGAATGCACATATTGGCCCAAGTTCAATCCACATAATGGTTTTGCTAAAGAAGAGAAATAATGTTTGGATTTTTTCCAACAAGATATCAACTATGCAATAACATGGGCTGGCCTTGTAGCATAATTTCAGATTGTGTGCCACAGAAGGCTATAATTTTAGGCTGTTGTGGCAAATAATTTACACCATTACTTCTCAAATGTTAGAAGATAAAATCTAGAGCAACTGGTTTAAAGGGTTGATAGCAATGGTTTGATTTTCCCTGATCAGAAGGGATTTCTCTCTGTGTTAGGGTGTCTGTGCCAGGCTGGGCATAGCTCACAGTGCACTGAGGGAGGCAGTGGCAGATCTGTAGGATGTGTGGGGGTCTGGCTGAGCTGGAGTTCCTTTCCCCACAGCAATCCTCACAGTGCTGTGCTTTGCATTGCTGGCTACAACGTGTTGATAACAAAACTGCCAAACAATTTGCATGCCAGATGCAGGAAACAAAGATGCAAGGTGGATGGATGGCAGGTGAGGCTGCAGCTGTGACTGGGCACAGTATGATGCTTCTGCTGCGTTATTTATTTCACTCAATATCAAAGTTTATGCAGTCTTGCACTGGGAAAAGGGAGTTACTGTGCCCACCCAGCACTTTCTGCTCTGCCACTCTGTGTAAGCACAGCTTGTCAGAGGTGTCCCAAGCCAAATGTGCGTGCCAACAGCTTGTGGTGCCCTCAGCAGCAGAATCTGGGCAGGGGTATTTATAGAGCTAAGTGCCAAAGCTGCTGCACTGATACACGGATGAACGTTCAAGTTTGTGGCTGGCTCTTTGTCATGTTCCAGCCCACTGCAGCTGACATAACCTGTGTGGAACCTCCTTGTACCTACTTTGAACTCAAATGGCTTTCAGACCTTGGGTCTGTTTCATATCCAAGTTCTTCTACTTTTCAGGAAGGAAAATGGGAGGGTAAAACTACCAGCATTCTTGGTGGAGGGAAAGTGGGTAATATAACCCAAATGAATTTAGGAAGGAATGTATTTTCATACTGCTTTAATCAGCTACTAATACAAAATGTTACAGAAAATGTAATTCGAAGAAACTCTAGGATTTAGGTGCTGCTGCTGCTATTTTTCTTTTTTTTTTCTTTTTTTTTTTTTCTTAACTGGGTTTTTTTAGGCTGATGTTGTTATTGATTTATTTGTACAGTTCTTGCTTAAATGCTGACCAGGAAACTATTTTTGCTTCTATGTTAGGCCGAACAGCTTTAAAAATTGAAAATATTTTATGTGACTTCCTGAATGTAGTGGATATTCTGATCATGTCTTATAAGATTCCAGCACAAACAGATCTTTGAAAGAAACATCTCCATAGTTTTTTGTTATTTCAGGTGGTCTGGGTGTGTTCCTCCTATGTGAAATTGTTAGGGTTCTTCTAATATTGCTTCAGAGGTGTAAGATTTCAGGATTAAAGTGCTTAAACAGGAGTAAGGATAATAACTTGGTGCCTTTTAAAACTATTGAGAAGTGTCACTGCTGCTTACCTTAAAGCCTTTGAGACTTTTAAGGCATAATCATCTTGTAAAACAGTTTAAATGGTTGGTACAGTCACTTAAAATGTTCATCTGCTTCATGCCTAGTTAAGTAAGACCAGTGATTTTTTGTTCATGCACTGTCCTTGTCAATAGACTCACAGAATTTGGCATTTCTCCTCTCAAAACTTATGGCATTCCTCTTGCAATGGTTGTGGT